TCCTTGTCTCCTCCACTGTGTATTTTCTAGGCTCTGCCAATAGCTAACTCAGGCCACTTTCTACAGCATAAAGCTGGGAGCACATAATGCTATAACGCTGCATAACATTGATTTCTAGGTATTCAAACTAATAAGTATCTAATCATAATTAGCAAGTCATCACTTCGATGAAACTTTTTCCAAGTAAACTACTCAGGAAGAAGGATCCACTAGTTTTATAACTTCATGACATTAGTTATTAATCTACTATTATTTGTGTGTGCTGTGCTATAGCTCTTCATCTGAGGGCCTGCCAAGGACACAAAAGGACTACTTATTTTCTTGTGAAATATGAATTGATCTTTCATATTAAATTCATGTTTCATTAGCTTTTGAGATGTAAAAAGTGACTAGAAGTGTGTTCCTAAATTGTTTGCAAAAGTTAAATAGCTTAAAAAATCCCTTCATTTTAAGATTCTTAATGCTTGGATATAGAGAATGTTTTAAGACACTTTGCCAGGATCGGTGTATAGGATTATTATTGTATTTTAAATTTTTCTTTGTTGGTCTAAGGATGGTAGCTGAGAGTTCTTTGCACTTGAACTCTGACCCTGATGCTTACTAATTGTGCAAACTACAGCAAATTCCTGGATGTTTCTAAATTGTCATTGTTTTCCTTTTAAAATGAGGATTAAAATACTTCTCAACTTTGTGGTGAGGCTCAGGAAGCCTCTGTGTGTAAAGCTTTGCATATGGTCCCACGATAGTGCTTTCTGGTGGTTGCTGTTGTCATTGTGGGCATTTTCATTTTTTAAAACCATTATTGTGTTACGTTTTGAAGGAATTGTGCTTCAGCAGTGCCAATGACACTGTTTAATATTTTTAAGGATAATTTGTTTCTGCTAATTTATGATTGTTTTACAATAGTATTTACTGCACTTGACAATTCCCAGACTTCTTGGTGAATGCATTGTCTTTCACATTTTTGTTTCTATGGCAAAGTATATTAAAAGTTCTAAACCACCAACAGAGAGGGGATCACTTGGGAAAAACCCTTTGGTAAGCTGGAAGGCTCTGAAGAGCTCATTGTTTGCACATTCTTTGAGCAGTCAAACCCTTAATCCTTCTATCAGCCATCACTGAGCAATCTGGTGACAGCCTCCTCTTCTCCTCTTCCTGGCAATGTTTTTTTTTAATTTTATTGGTACATTTTATGTATACAATGACATTCATCATTGGAAATTTGCACCTTAACATGATATACCTTGATCCTTATTTTTTCCCCATTCCCCTGCCCTCAGACTCTAGTTCCTTAAATTTAAGTAACCCAAATTCCCTCCTTATAAAATGTAGTGACTTTCCTAACCACCAATATTTGGGCCAATTGATTTTCAAATCAGTCTTTTTCAGTAGATGCCCAACAAACATTTTGAGCAACATTCCCATGAGCATGAATGAGAGAAATTTGAGGCCTTTATTTCCAACAACATACTTTTGTGTTGCTCTGTTTATTTAAAGATATGTTTGTAATTTTCTATTTAGCGTATTTTAAGGCACATGAGCAGAGAGAACTCCATTCAGTGGTCTGATAAGCCCCTGGTTTGTTTTAATAATTATTTCTGGGTCATATCAGATAGTATTAAATAACTGCATTTACTGAAAGACAGTGCTTTTGTGGTGTCTCATATACTAGTACATATGAGTGATGTTGTATTTCTGTCTCACCCTTTTGTTTAAGCCTCATCAAGCTCCTGCAGGTCTCTGAACTCACTGATAACAGCTGTTACTATGGCTGCATGTTATTTCATTTGTTGAATTGATGCTTGATAAGAGAAATGTCATTAAATGTCTGCAGTTCTGAATTTAAACAGAACAATTTTCCTTATGGAGCTAAAATTAGGAAACTGGAGTTAAAAGTCCAAGCCCTGTATTTCTAAATCGAGGTTGTGCAATGTTTATATGTGTGTGTGTCTGTGTGTGTGTGTGTGTGTGTGTGTGTATACACTGTGTGCAAGCATGGATTTGGGGATCGTTACCTTGCCACCAACTGGAAACCTTGGCCCTGTCTTTAGGAACAGGGAAGGGGAAATGCATTAATTCAAGTAATGAAATTTCAAATTGACCTCTCTGAAAAATGGGGTTCCTCTTTTAAGATCTTCAACAGATGGTGACTGAAGCCTTGACTCATTATGGGTTTTCATGTGGGCTCATATTTTATGGATTCTTATTAATTCACAAGATCAAGCCTGTCTTCAACATAAGGTGATTCAGATAAAATACAAAGTATCTCCTGAAATGTAATTTCTCCCTGTGGCCAACATGAGGAGATGTGATCGATGATTAGGGTGGCCATGAGGCCCCATGGAAAGCAGGGCAGTGTGGTGGTTGCCAACACACATGCTGGAGTGGAGCTGGCTTTTTCCACCTACTCTGTATGTGACCATGAACACTTATTTCTGCTTCAGTTTCCTTAGCCATAGAATGGAACTATCAGTAGTACCTTATCTCTTTGGACTGCTGTAAGAATTCATTGAATTAATTAATACCATAATTTTTTTGCACTGCTAAAGGTGGAAGTCAGGGCCTCAGGCTTTCTAGGCAAGCATTGTACCTCTGAACAACATCCTTAGCCCAAATTAATATACTAAAGTGATTTAAATGTAGTGAGCATTATATGAATGTCAGCCATTTTTCTAGGAATCTTGTTTTACTTTTTGCACTAGTAAAGTCTAAAAGTCACATAATTCTTACTTTTGAAGGACAACATAGAAGCTGTTTTCTTTTCTTTTTTCCTTTTATTGAGTTTATTGGTACATTTTAGGTATACAGTACAGTTACATTCATTACTGGAATCTTGTACCCTTACATGACAGGTCTTGGTTCTCATTTTTCCCCTTGTCCCTGCCCTCCCCTCACCCCCTCCTTTCCTCCCCATTTACAAACACTTTATTTTCATTTTCTCATATTTTCCCTTATTACCTTTCCCCTACCCTTCCCACTTTCCCTACACCTTTAGCCTTTTCTTCCTATTTCACAATGTCAGTTATCTCATTAGGATCTTATGTACTATTACAGTTTATTCACACCAGAGAAACTATTCGGTATTTACACATGTGTGACTAATTTATTTCACTTACGAGTATATCCTCAATATGTATCCATTTTCCTATGAATGAGTCTAATTAGAAGCTGTTTTCTCTATCTGTGATGTACAATAACAGTTTGGCATTTCCTTCATTTTATTTGGTTCCATAAAGCAAATGAGTAAGGTAATTGAAACTGAACAAATTCAATTCATTGTAAAAGCACCAGAGTTCTGTTCTCACAGGAAGTTCTTGCTAAATTCCAGAAGAATGGTTTTGTTATTTAAATTTTTTTATGCTTTGAAGTGTTGGGGATAGAGCCCAGGGCCTTACACATGCCAGGTGCTCACTCCACAACTGAGCTATACCCCTAGCCCAAGAGTAATTTTATTTTACTTTTATTTTATTTTTTTGTTGAGTTTATTGGTACATTTTAGGTATACAGTACAGTTACATTCATTATTGGGATCTTGTACCTTCACATGACAGGTCTTGGTTCACTTTTTTCCCCTTGGCCCTGCCCTCCCTTCAACCCCTCCTCCCCTTTCCATTTACAAACACTTTATTTCCATCTTTTCATTTTTTCACATTTTTTTCTCTTCCCTTATTATCTTTCCTCTACCCTTCCCACTTTCCCTACAACTTTCGCCCTTTTCTTCCCATTTCACCATGTCACTTATCTCATTAGGATCTTAAGTGCACAAAAGTAATTTTAACGATGCAGGATTTTTAAAATTCTAACACCATTTTCTCATATTTTTTTCTTTTCCCTTATTCCCATTTCCCTACCCTTCCCACTTTCCCTACACCTTTAGCCCTTTTCTTCCTATTTCACATTGTTAATTATCTCATTAGGATCTTGTGCACTATTGTAGTTTTTCACTCCAGAGAAACTATTCGGTACTTACACATGTGTGACTTATTTATTTCACTTAGGAGTATGAGAAAATGAAAAAATGGAAATAAAGTGTTTGTAAATGGGGAGGGGAGGAGGGGGTGAAGGGAGGACAGGGACAAGGGGAGAAAATGAGAACCAAGATCTGTCATGTAAAGGTACAAGATCCCAATAATGAATGTGAACTGTACTGTATACCTAAAATGTACCAATAAACTCAATAAAAAGAAAAAACCCTCTAACACCAAAAAGTGCACCTAGGATGTGTTCATACCAAAGGGTACATACATATACTATAGTCTAAGCTTTGTGAAAACTTCCTGACTTCTAGGGGTAAAATATATTGTATGTATATTTATCTGAATAAAACTGGATTTTTAAAAAGCTGAAACCTGGTGGTGAGAATGCTATAGGTATTCAGTCAAGTATTTTTGACTAAAGAATAATTCAATGGGTGCACGAGTGAAGCAATTTCATTCTTCAGTGATGGAGTACATTGGGTGTTTAGGATGCAAAAGGGGTCAATTTTTATGTCTTTGGTTTTTTATGATTTGAAGTATTCTCCAAAAATGAACTCCCTCTTGTTTTCTTTGGAAATATCAGTTGGCTTTTGAGACTTAGACTCTGGGTCTCTACTGAGAAACCTCATCCATGTGAAAGCTGAACAAAACAGTAGGTCATGTACATGAACCAACATGGACTTTTCACATTGGCTGCTAGTGTGAGGAGCTTCTCTGTGGTCCCCTTAACTGTGTGTGTGTGTGTTTGTGTGTGTGTGTGTGTGTGTGTGTGTGTGTGTGTGTGTGTGTGTGTGTTTTACTGGAGACTGGACTTCACTCTGAGCTACATCTCAAACCTTTTTTTATTTATTTAGTTATTTATTTTTTGACACAGGGTCTTGCTTACTGGCTAAGTTTCCTGGACTGGGTTGAAAATTGTAATTCTCCTCCCTCAGCTTTCCAGACTGGGATTACAGGTGCATGCCACCACACCCAACTCCTGTGATATATTTGATCCTGATGTTTTACTGGTCCTTTCCTCCAGGTATGGCAGCAGCCAAACTTCTGCATGATTCCGGCTTGAATGTGGTAGTTCTGGAAGCCCGGGACCGTGTGGGAGGCAGGACTTACACCATGAGGGTAAGATGCTGAGGGTGGAGTGGGGAAATGGGGGCCAAAGCTGAGTTTTGTTTTTTGTTTTTCCTGAAAGTTTTCAATTTCATTTGACTCTTTCTGAATGTAAAAATTACTCTGAAAAATTCTGTCTGTGTCTCTGTTTTTCTCTGTTGTGTTGGAGATGAAAACACTGAGCCACATCCCCAGCCTCAGCCTTTCTTATAATTTGCCTCCCTTTCAACTCTTTTTCCTCTCCCTATTTTTCTTTTCAAATCATGATATTTGCATTATAGTTAGGAGGAGGAGTGTGTGTGTGTAATAAAAATATCACAAGTCTTTTTATTTAGCCTTTAACTTTGATGCTTCTCTAAGCACTAACACAATCATTTCAACCACACAAGCTAAACATTTTTGGAGCCCGAGTGGGGAGAGTCAGGGTCTCATTTTTCAATTTTTTTTTTTTTTGGTACCTGGGATTGAACTTGGGCCCTTGCGCTTGAGAAGCAGGCGCCAGAACCACCGAGCTAAATCCCCAGCCTTCATTTTTAAATTTGGATCTATACTATTTTAATTAATTAATCATAATTTTATTGCATTTATAAAATATGAAGTGATACATATACAATATGGAGTGGTTAAATCAACCTAATTTACTTATCTGTTATTTCTTGACATTTTATTCTGATACATTTGAAATTTACTCTTATTTTGAAACGCATACATTATTATTGACCAAGGTCACCCTGCTGAGCAATAGTGCTCCAAACGTAATCCTCCTGTCTAGCTGAATCTTTGTGTACTTGGACCAGTAATTCCCCACGCCCTAAAGCCCCCTCCCTAGCCTTGGTACCCATCTGTCTATTTCAATATTCTTCTTAAGAGTCCACATGTGAGTGAGATCATGCAATAGTTATCTTTCTGTGTCTAGTTTATTTCACTTAGCATTACGTCCTCCGGTTCCATCTATGTTTCTCCGAATAACAGACTTTCCTTCTTTCTCAAAAAGGCTGCATAGTACTCCGTTGTATGTATATATATATATATATATATACCACATTTTCTTTATCCATACAAAATTGTGTTTCTTTTTAGGAGGACGAGTAGGGAGCTAGACAAAAAAGGAAGGTCATTTCTGTTGTCTCTAATAGGTACCTAATTCTGCTTGGACATGATTAAAAATAGTTGAGCTTTTCTACACATTTCTTATTCAAAGACTGCCATTCAATATTTAGAAATGAAGCTGATTTGGGCTAGGAGTGTAGCTAGGTGGTAGAATGGTTTGCCTAGCATGCACAGGGGTCTCTGTTCCATCCATCCTCAGTACTGCAAAAACAGAGCAGAACAATAGGCCAAAGACAATATTAATTCAAAGTATATAGAAAAACCTATAATATGCTATTAAACAAAAAAGCAACATCAAAGATCTAAATTATAATCAGATAGAATATTTTTAAGTATCTTAGTTGGCAAAACTTGTAAGAAGTGATCGTTTCCTTTCTTGCTTTTTGTCTAGCATTAAGTTCTGCAAAATGAGCCTCAAGTACTGAGTAAAGAGATTCTTGAACAATTAACAAATTCAATGCAAACCATGTTGTGGTATATTGGTAACAATGGGGTTCAGAAGTCTTTTGCTTATTTAACATTCAATCAACTATGTTTTAAATATTGACTAAATAACTATTCAATCATGTGCCTAAAGTATAGTAGAACTGAGAGCAGAATCCAGTTTTCCATCAACGTTCTTCAAAACATATCTATCTATAAAGTGGAAAATGTCAATTTGCTTATTTCAGAACTTTATATTTTCCTCATATTTTCACAATTTTTTTTCACATTGAAAACAGAACCAAAATGTTAAATATGTGGACCTTGGAGGATCCTATGTTGGGCCAACCCAGAATCGCATTTTAAGATTGGCCAAGGAGCTGGGATTGGAGACCTACAGAGTGAATGACGTGGAACATCAGATCTACCATGTAAAGGTAAGCTGAGGCCAGACACTAAGAATTTGAAATTCTCTGTGAGTATAGCCCTTTATGAGTTCCAGGTTGTTCTCTCAGAGAAGCTTTTGCTTCTTCAGTGATGCATATTTATTCTATAAATTCAGCCACTCTGGTAATTTATTCATTATTATGCATTATTATTAAAGAATTAGGTAGGAATTCTATACCTATTTAGGAAGGTTATATTGTCAGTTTGGGAAAATGTTCAACAAATTCAGTAGAAAACATATTTGTGATTTGCTTATTAAATATTTCTCTTAAAATACCTGTGACAGTTTCATGTTATATAAAAACCTGTGCGTAGCTTTACACATGCTGCCCTAGGCTGTATGTTAGAAAGACTATTTGGAATACAGCTCATGAGATATTTCAAAATACTATCATTCTGTCCTATGTCAGTTAAAGTCATCCTTCTTTGGAGGCTTGTGAGAAAGGGGCTCAAGTTCCAAATCCCATCTGTGGGGAAGCTCCATTGATCTCTCCATGAATTCTGTTAATGTACTGGGTCTTTCCTTCTCCTGCTTCTGGCTTCCATGACACCTATGCTCACTCGTGGCTCATAGCTTATAACTCCTTTCTTCCTTTTTCTCTATGCTAGTCTGGGTTCAGTCTCACATTTTCATCTTCATCTTGGTTTTCTGTTTTTGGTACCGGGGATCGAACTTGGGACCTTGGGCTTGCAAGGCAGGCGGTGGCACCACTGAGCTAAATCCCTGGCCTGATCTTGATTTTCTTCATACCATCCCAAGCATTTGTGTGTTGCAGACAGAACTGAAGTTATGAGCAACAGAGCGCTTTTGAACTGCAGAAACACACACAACTTAGTGATACTTAGTGATACTCACTTGAGTATCACACATTGTAATAACTCCTTAGACCAAAGCATCCCTGAGGATTTCTCACTAGTCATATTTCTCTGTGGATTTCAGTTTCCCTGCATTTGTTGGTCCTCAGATTCTGTTCATATCTCCCTGTTTTCTCTGTTTTTCCAAAATCCTCCTTTTGGTCCCCCCCCAAAAAATCACTGATGTTCTCTGACAAGCAAAAAAAAAGAGTCGTCTATTCCAGGCCCCATCTTGGAGTCTCATAGAACTGGCAGAGGTTTTGAATTTCTATCTTTCTTCTCTTATCCCCTAGTGGAATTAAGCAATGTAGACACATTCTTCATGGGTAGAAATTATCCTCTTAGAAAGATCGAAGTGAGGCTGCGGTTGTAGCTCAGTGGTCTATGTGTCCTCAGCATGTACCATGCCCTGGGTTTGATCACCAGCACTGCAAGAAACACAGCAAAAAAGAAAGCAGCAATAGTCAGTTTTGATTTATGTAACAATCTTGCCACTCTTCGTTTTGAGTGGTAGTATCAGGAAGGACAAATAACAGATGATATGCTACAAATATTTAATAAAATAGGATCTAAAATCTACTTAACTTGGTATAATGTAGGTAAAAGGTTTCCCTAAATTACAAAGAAACGTTTTCATTAGTCTTCTTTGTTTTCTAAGCTTTTTGTTGCTTCTAGCAGTAAAAAGGACACATTAATTAGAAATGAGAGTGAAACATGGTGATAGTGTGATATGTTGAACAGCCATCAGCAGCTCTTGGTAAATATGCTTTGTTGGGTTATTTGGCTTTTTAAATGTAGCTTAAGGTGATCAATTTTTTAATGTCTTCCTTACTCTACTTGCCCAACTTGAAGAAATTAACTTCTCTGAATACGAGGGTCTCTTAGATTTCTTGACACAGGAGTTAACCGCAGATTGGAGTCACCTTTGTGCCTTTGTGTGTACAGAGGGATATGGGTCAGTTAAGAGATATGTCCAGCTTTCTTTTGTCTCTGATAATCTCACAACTTCCAGTAAATCCCTTGCTTGAGAGACATTGTTTCCAGTTACTAATTGCAGAAATGATGATGTTACACTTAAATGATTTTTTTTTACAGTCATGTTCAAATGTGCTGCTTTCTGAGACTCTTTCCAATAATCTTTTTGTAGCTAAGAAATACAAATAATCAAGCAGCATCCTTGATTTAACAGATAGTAACTACATATACCAACAGTGCTGTTTATAGAATTTAAAATAAATCTTACTGCTTTTAAAATTACTATAAATGTAAAGCATGTCTACTTTAAAAATTTTTCCTCATTAAATTTATTGGTGCATTTTAGGTATACAGTATGGTTACATTCAATATTGGGATCTTGTACCTTTACATGACAGGTCTTGGTTCTCATTTTTTCCCCCTGTCCCTGCCCTCCCTTCACCCCTTCTCCCCTCCCCCTTTACAAACTCTTTATTTCCATTTTTTCATTTTCTCGTATTTTTTCTTTTTCCTTATTACCTTTCCCCTACCCTTCCCACTTTCCCTACACCTTTAGCCCCTTTTTTCCTATTTCACATTGTCCATTATATCATTAGGATCTTATGTACTATTATAGTTTATTCACACTAGAGAAACTATTCGGTATTTACACATGTGTGACTTATTTATTTCACTTAGGAGTACATCCTCAATATGTATCCATTTGTACTTTAAATATTTAATTAGAAAATTTGGTAAAGAAATACAGTATTAAAAGTCCCCTCGACAATTTTGTCTTGAGAAAAATCACTCCAAAATCCTGTTGCTTCTTAGAGATTTTCCAAAGTTGCTATTGTCTGACCTCTGCTGGAGGAAATGGGAACTATCAGCATATTAAAAAATTGCTGTGTACCTATGCATATTTGATATGTTTGAAATACTAATTTACTCTCTAATTCTCACTGAGACAGATTGAAACACTAATGACTCTATGAAATAAATGTTTTCACAATCTTGATAAAGGTTCCAGTTTGGCTACTTTGTGGTCATATCTAGTGAAGAACAAGATAATAAAAAATAATACAAGATAATACAAAATACAATAAAATAATACAAGATAGTAGAAAGTATAAAATAATAAAAACTAATAAAGACCCTGTATCTAAGAAGTCCTCCTCAAGCTAAATACTTTTGTTCCACCTTCATTATTTCCATCTTTGGCTACATGTTAGTTTTCTCATTTTTAACTTATAAAAAGTATCCTGAATGGCTACATCTATTTCTAGAGTTATTGACAAGAACTGACATTCCATCTCCTATTGTATGCCAGAGAATGTAGCTCAGAAATGTCTCTTTTGTCAAGGAAGGCGGAGCTTTGAGCATTGGAGCATTTCCCTTTATTACCCATTTTAATGATTACTGCCTCCAAGTGCAAACTACGGCTCGTGTAAATAGATAGCACATTTGTGCCTTGTTTCTTCAGCAAACCTGTCAGTATTTCTTAGCCTGAATCTTGAGAGTTTCAAGTATTCTGCTTGCCATATTGTCTTAGGCTCTGCGAAAATTAGCCCATTGACAGGTATCTTTTATTTTAAAAAATTTCTTATATGGTTGTTAATGGGAGAGAGTTTTACAAGCAGCCTTCATAATATTAGGTTAAGGAACTTGTATGTACTGGTTGATAGTGATTATTACTGTTTTTTGGTGGCAGTGATGGGGATGTAAACCAAGGCGTTGCACATAGTAAGCAAACACTCTACCTCTTGAGCTACACCCCCAACCCCCAGCCCTACTGGTTGGTAATAAAACTGATGAAATTTTTTAAAAATAACAAAAAACTGATGAAATTGAGCTAACTAGAAAAGACAAGGATGCAGTAGCTTATATAATATGTTAGCTATCTTCTTATAAAAGTACATTTCCTCATTTCTTCAAGATAGGAAGACTCTCGGGCTGGGGATGTAGTTCAGTGGTGCAGCACCTGCCTGGCAAGCAAGAGGCCCTGAGTTCTATTCCTGGTACAAAACAAAACAAAAAACACAGGATGACTCCCACAGTTGTGAATTCTCTGGTAGATGCAGAAGAAACGGTTAGCAGATAGGTGGAGTGTGTTCATATTGGCCCCATAAGTAGGCACCCATAAAGCCCTGGTGTATGGTGATGAACAAACCTCTGTACTGCCTAGATCCAGCCTTTCAGAAACACTTATATCTACTGGATGGCATTCATTTTCAGTGCTGCTATAGGTCTGCCTTATGTTGTTAAAAGGTGGTTGTCCAAAGATGACAGGGGTAAAAGATGTGATACCACACTCTATTGGGATTTAATTATTACCTGGGAAAAGTCATCACCTCAGCTGAAATTTATATAATTTGGAAGGTATTTTCATCATTTCTAAAGTCAGAATTAAAGCCATTAGTACTTAGCAATTATTTTTAAGCATCTACTGAGGTTTCACAAATAGTCATGCTAATTTATGCTGGTATAATTCAGAAAGTATAGTTCAGATGCCTTGGAAATGACTTGAAAAAAATGTTCTCCTTTATTAATATCTCATAATTAAAAAGAAAAGGACGAAAACTTCTTAAGGAATTCTGTTATATTTGGACTTAGGCCTCTTTCTCTTTCCTTGTGTATGTGTGCATTTGTTTTCATGTGCACCTGTTTGTGGTTGTTTCGTTGTTCACTTTTTGTGTTTTGGAGTTCTTTGAAGAAGTTGGAGATTTGGTACAACTTAGGCTACTGACAAATAAAATTTCTATGCTCAGAAGCTTTCATCAGCCTTCAGTTTGAAACTGAAGTCCAATCACAGCACTCATGAAACTACTTTAGGACTGAAGGGTGATCCTCTTAAGGGTTTGGTCAACCTAAGATGAAATGTGACAGACGTAAGAGCCCGACTTCATCATTTCCAAGCTTCAGCTACCTGGAGGAACTGAGCAAAAAAGACACTCCAGCCTTAGTTTATCTGGAAATGGGCTTCTGCCAAGCTCATGGTCAAAGGTCCTTTTGTGTTATATATGGTCAGCTTCAAGGGTACAGAGGCATATGGATAAGGCAACAGCCATCAAATAGAGTGGCTCTGTGATAACTGCCATTGCTCAAACAACTCCATGGGGGAGGAAACATTTGGCAGAGCCCCTTGTCTTGTTGATGACTCTGAAATCCAGTTGAATACATG